AATAATAATAATAATAATAATAATAATAATAATAATAATAATAATAATAATAATAATAATAATAATAATAATAAAAAATAATAAATAAAAAATATTTACGGTTAATAACGAAACATGCATTCAAACTCTATTAATCGAATGTATATATCGAAATAAAAATACTTACTAGATGGGCTCTTTGATAACAATTGAAAACCATTTTTTTATGATCATATTTTTATTTATTATTATTTTTTTTTGGAATAATGCTTACTGAGAGGATAGCCATGCCCTAAATAAGTACACATGAATATTGAGACGATACCAGTGATAATAACCTATTTTTTATTATTATTATTGATTTAATATTAGTTTTATAATAATTATTTGAAAATATATCAACAACTTTTAAAAACCAAATTCGCATGTAATTTCTATGTTCTCTATGATGAGAAAAAAAAATTATTACAAAATCATGTATATATATTCAAAATTTTATTCGGATTTGCACTACTAATTCAAATTTTATTTTTTTATTCAACGAGGAGTTTCTTAGTCAACGGATGACATTAATTTGACCCCTCCTTGCTTATTTTCTTCTTCGATAAAAAATGATACATAAAAAAACGATTCATAAAAATATAAAAAAACCGATACAGTAATCAAATCGATACGACACAAATTTTGTTTATAACCAACAAAAAAGAGAAAGCAGTTTTATTTTGTAACATATATAATATTTAAAATAATTCTAATAATTCTATTATGTAGATATCGAATATTATAATTAATCAAAAAATTAAGTTAACAAACTAATGGCCGAAGCAACGGAAGTACCAACTAATGTGAAAAGACCAATATAACTAAATGCCCCTCTAAGTCTTTTGGATGGATCGCCCGTTTGATAACCCCAAGCGTAGACTAAGCGACCTTTTTTTATTAATAATAATATTTATTTTTTGATCAATAAATAAATAAATTTGAACAACGTGATGATAATTGGATGCGAACAACATACCCATGATAAAAATTCCACCACCAATTGATGAAAGAATAGGATATTTTAAGCCTCCCATAATAAGACTAAATAAATAGTAAATTAGTAAATAAAAATAAAAATAAAAAAAAATAAATATGAATATCACGTGATAATAAAATATAACAGTACATGAATAAAAATTGAGGATAATTTTCCATTGTATTCTAATAATAATAAATATTTACGATTAATAACGATATCTTCGAAATGTGCAATGTATTGAATGTTATATTGCGAAATAAAAATACTTACTAGATGGGCTCTTTGATGACAATTGAAAATCATTTTTTTATAATCATTTTTTGATTCTTCCGCCGTTGCATACACTAAAAAAAAATAAAAAATTATTTAAATTTCTTTTTCTCTTATTTATTTTTATTTATTATTATTATTATTTTTTTTTTTTTTGGAATAATGCTTACTGAGAGGATAAGGAACTCCTGCTTTTCTACGAGCCATGCCCGCGCTCCACCCTAAATAAGTACACATGAATGCTGAGACGATACCAGTGATAATAACCTATTATTATTATTATTATTATTATTATTATTATTGATTTATATAAGTTTTACAATAAGAAGGTTTGATTATCAACAATTTTTTAAAAACATACATATCCAAATTCTCTTGCAATTTCTATTTGTGCCATGATTAGTAAAAAAATATTAGATTTAGATTCAAGATTCTTCACAAATATGAGAAAATAACTAGAGATGATTTTATAGTTTTTAATCATACATCAATCGGCTCATTTAAATCCCGGTTTCTGAAGCAAACAAATTAAATTTTTTATTTGTACTACTAATTCAAATTTTTATTGTTTTAGTCAGCGAGGAGTCTCTTAGTTAACAAATTAATGGATGTATTAAATTTGACTAATACTGTAAATCTCGCTCCTCTTTACTTACTTTCCTTCTTTTACAGATATGCAATTAATCAAAACGATTCATAAAAATAATACATATTCATAAAATAAAATCAATTAGTCAGCGGAGGAGTTTCTTAGTTCCTGATTAACGGATAAATCTCGGCCCCTCCTTACTTACTTTTCTTCTTTCATAGATATTCAACAGTTCCTCCTTAAAACGAAAACGAATCATAAAAATGATACAAAAACGATGATCGATGCGACACATGTGCCGGATTAAATTTTTTTTTTAGAAAATTAACGGACCCGATTTCATCCGGATTATATAAATCAGGTTCTACGACACATGTGCCGGCGTTACAATTATCAAATTCCCGAAGCAAGCAAATTATTTGTACTACAGTGCGGAACCTCTAAGATAGGAACTAAAAATATTTTCTCAATTTTCATGGTTATGTAACATCACATGATGCAATTTTAGCCAATTATAATTTAAGATTATTTAATTTCATTATAAATTGTATCAGAAGAATTATTATTATTGTTGAAAATAAGTTAACCTCTAATTGTATTGCATTTAATTATTTCATTTTTTGTCACTCTTAAAACCTTTGTTAATGATATTTAAAAGATATAAAATACTAAAATTATTAGAAATCTTTTTTTTTTTCAAATCAAAATTACAATGGGTTACTATTTTTAATATATTCTCAATTTTTAAGAGGTATAATTAAATACATGTAACTTCAATTCCAGTAAAACTTGATCAATTTAAATCAGATCAAAATTTTAACTGGTAATTTTGAAAACTTGGATTCTGAGCTATCAATTTCTTAGGTTAGAATTTTTATTCGATCAATTTTTACTATAACCAAGTTCCTATCTTAGAGGTTCCACACTGTACTAATTCAAATTTTACAGCATACCCATGATAAAAATTCGACCACCAATTGATGAAAGAATAGGCCTTCCATATAAATAAATAAATAAAAAATAAATATGAATATCACGTGATAATAAAATTTAACAGTATATGAGTAAAAATTGAGGATAATTTTCCATTGTATTCTAATAATAAATATTTACGATTAATAACGATATCTTCGAAATGTGCAATGTATCGAATGTTATATTGCGAAATAAAAATACTAGATGGGCTCTTTGATGACAATTGAAAATCATTTTTTTATGATCATTTTTTGATTCTTCCGCCGCTGCATACACTAAAAAAAATAAAAAATTCTTTTTCTCTTATTATTATTATTATTATTATTGATTTTATAAGTTTTACAATAATTTTGAAAAATAACGAAAGATGATTTTCGTTTTGAACTATCCGCAAAAATATTCGGATTCGAATCAATCTAAAAAGTATTCGGATTGATCCGTTGATCCGAAGAAAAGACAAAGACGGCGAAGAAAATGGATATTTTTTGGATTCGGATTGTATTCGGATCAATCCGAATATAATAAAAAATTGGATAAAATTTGGATCCGTATAGGACGAATCCGAATCCGGCGCATGTTCATCGTTTTTTTATCGTTTTTAAGGCATATCTATGAAATATCAAATTCCCGAAGCAAGCAAATTATTTGTACTACTAATTCAAATTTTATTATTTTGGTCAGCGAGGAGTTTTTTTTATTTAACGGATTAAATCTTCCCCCTCCCCTTTTTCTTCTTTCATAGAATTGCAACAGTTCCTCCTTAATCAAAACTTTTAAGCAAATTTCATAAAGACGACACAAAATTTTGTTTAACCAATAAATTTTTCTTTATTTTGAAACAGATGTGTGCACAGAAAATAATGAAAAATTTAACTTATGTAACTGTAATAATTGAATTATTTATTATTATTGTATCTTTCTTTTTAAAGTAGACAATTGTCTTTGTTTTATTCAAAATTAATTAATTAATAATAAATTTATTTTTTGTTTATTGTGTTATTGTATTGATGCAAAGAAATAGATCATACAAATATATATTTGTTCAATAAAAAAAAAGTATTTACATTTAATTATTTTTTAGAAAAAAAAAAACCACAATAAATATTATTATTATTATATTATTATAGAATTTTTTTATCTAAAAAAAATAATATAAATGATGTATGGTCTATATAAAATAAAATGTACAAGTGTAAAGTGATAAAAGTTTACAAATGGTGACTAAAAAGTTCAATAATTGTATTCTATCTGAATAATCAAATGATGATAAAAAAATTTAAAAATGTTTATGAAACTATTTTCAATAAGTCTCTTTGAACAGTTGCGGGAGTTCGACAAGATGGACAACGAAAATGTATCATAGAATTATTATTATCATTAGAAGAAGAATCCTCATCAAATGAATAACCTTCCACCAATAAAGAAGTTCTTAAACAATTAGGGTGAAAATGATGTTGACATTGAGGCATAGTTATCATTGAAGAAATTTGTTGTTGCTCATTCACTTGATGTTCTTGATGCTCTTCCCCACAACATCCAATACTTGATAATGAACAAGTAACAGAATGATGAGAATGATAATTCTCAGATGATGTAGATGATGAAGTTGAATCTTCCATTATAACATCCTCATCTATAATTGCATTTTGAGCTGAAGATGTTATTGACGTATTTGAAGGATTTGAAGGATTTGATTGCTCGTGTTCAGACGGTGAGAAAGAAGGTGGAGATGAAGAAGAAATTGGAGTTTGTAATGGAGATGATGAAACCGGAGGTGTTTGAGGAATCTTTTGTTGCTCATCTCCTGATTCTATTTCAATTCTACATAATGGACATGTAACATTTTGTTTTAACCATTTAAATAAACATGATTCACAAAACATGTGTTTGCAGGGCATTTCTCTAACAACTTCATGAGTTTGAGTTGCTTGATCAACTTTATTATTGCCATCTTCTTTCTTATCGTTATTATTTGTTGTCTTATCGACATATTGTGTGTCTTCAATATTCATTTTCTCATTGGTGTCGATATTGGTGCTAATATTTGGATCATTGGTTTCATCAATGTTATTTGCAAATGAAAATGCATCCAAACAAATTGGACAAGTTGCCTGTGCATCAATGTGCTCTTGAGTAATTTTAATAATTGGCAATTTTTTCATAGCAGCTTCAGACGCATGACGATTCTTTGGAATTTCTTGGGGCATGAAAAATGGAGAGAAGAATATGAAAGATCCATCTCTTGGCGTCTCGGGCATTGGATAAATGAAAAACTGAAATACTGGAGGAATATGATTATTGTTTCCATTATTGCCGGTATTTCCATTACCGTTATTGCCATTATTGCCGTTATTGCCATTATTGTTATTATTGTTATTATTGTTATTATTGTTATTGAATGTATGATTTTGTTGTTGCTGAGAATTTTGATGTGGTTGTGATTGAAAAGCAAAAGTAAAAGGAAATATAAAATCAGAAAAATTATGTTGATGATTATTATTATGAGCATTCCTTTCGTTTTGTGTGTTAGATTCCATTTTTGTTAAACTTGGAAAGCGAAAAATAAGATTTATAATATGATTAAGTAAGAGGATACTTTTTTAAAGGTAAAAGTTTAAGTTTGTTTATTTTTATTTTTTTGAAATTTTGTTTACAAACCACCTTATTTATAATAAAAATATTTTTTATGGAATTTGCGAGAATCAACAAGAAAAATCGTTGGTTATTTATTTATGTTATTGTATTGTAATTCCTTATATGTAATAATTATTTATAATCATTTAAATTTTTTATACATATGTCATGATCTACATGAAAAGAAATTCGCCTGAGAGTTTTCAGAATATTTTCTAGAATATTTCTAGAATATAATTATTTGAATTTATCCTTTTTTTTATAAATTACTAAAAATGACGTGATTATGGAACAATTCCCCTCAGTAGTACAAAATATATAAAAAAACATCATCTGATTCCTCATTTCCTCATTGAATGATAATTTTTTTATCAATAATTATTAAACAAAAAAATATTAGGAAATGACAAGCGGTATAGAGATAATTTTTTAGCTTGATAAAAAAAGTGCACTCACACAATGAAACACCTCTTGTAATTAAAAAACAAGAAAATGCCACTTTAAAAAGAAATGGTTGAATCAGTATTTTTGAGAAAAAAATCAGGCGAGACATAGAAATTTCAAAAATTTTTTACACGTTCTGGATAATATATTGGTAATTCGATATAACTACCCTTTTGCAGATCGCGTGGGATCGAACTTCAAGTGGCCGTCTCAATGACTGAGCCTTAGAAGTTTGTTTTCTGGCCTTCACTGATGATGTTAACTCTTTGGAATACGACAACGAAGTTTGCGTTTAACCATCTCAATTGTCTCTTATTTGATTTGGCACTATAATAATTTAATAGTAATTTGGGATTTTGAGAAAATAATTTGGATAACATACTCGGCACTATGTATCAATCAGTTGATCAATCACAACATGTGAAAGTTCCACCAGCGAAGACAGTGTCAACCTTTTAAGTCGAACTATCATATTACTCTGTATTTTCGAAAAACAAAGTGTGTCCTTACTAACTTGAACAAAGTGGATGCTTCCATAGATTAATTTTTCATTTTGTTATTTTGTTTTTGATCTGTTAAATAATTTTGGTTCGAAAGTGTAACTAAATATATGTTAATCAATCGTAACAATATACTATGTACTGTCATAAAAAAAAGCCCTTTTATATGTATTTCATTTGACAAATGAAAACCAAGAGGATTAGTATATATTAATCGTGAATTACATCCTATATTAGGATGCTCGGATTACTAATTTCACTAATTTCGAATTAAATATAATCATATCCAAATTTGGAGAACTACATAACTGTACAAATATGGAACAAAAAGACTGTGATTATTTTGATTATTTTGATAGCGGTCATAAAGAAAACTTGACCATATTCATGTAAGTAAAGTATAGCCAATCAGAATAATTATAATAAACTCAAATTCGTTTTATTCATGTAAGTCTTTTAGACCTATGAAAATAAAGAAAGTATTAAAACAAAAATTTCAATTTCCAAATGCTTTATTATTATTTGTAATAAAAAAATTCAGCATAATACACTTATATTGATTAATCAACTTTTGGCATTTCATTTTTATTTCAATTTGGAACATTCTGTACTGTAAACATACAATAATGCAATATAATAATAATACAATGTTGAACTTAATCCTTCTGAGTGATACAATATAACCATTTCCGAATAAGTTTCTATTTTTTTTTAACTGTTAAAGTATTTTTTTTTTTTTTTAACAAAGTTATAAATCATCTTTAAGAAAAAAATATGTTCATGTCTTTTTCAATCTTGTTTCCAACATTCTTCGCATATCGGAGATTTCTCTTTTCATTTTTTCAAATTCATTTAGAATATTTTTAAAATCTTTATGAGTTAGGGGAACCTCATCTAAAATAAAATAAAGGAATAATGCATGAATTTTTAAATTATTTATCTGTATGTATATTTTAAAAATATTACCGTCGGAAAGATCAGCAATCGTTCTTTGTTTTTTTCTAGCAGGAGTTGTTGTTAATTGTGTTGTTGTTTCTGTTGCTATTGTTGTTGTTGTTGTTTTTAATGATGTTGTTGTTTTTGTTGTTGTTGGTGTTTTTACTACTGCAGCTGATGTTGTCGTTGTTGCAGTTGATCGTTTTTCACAGGTTTTTTTGGATTTTCCATTTATAATACTGGAAAGAAGTTCATCATTCTTTCGTTTTCGTTGATAATGCAAAAGTGACATTTTTTAAACTATCCAAGTAATAAAAAAAAAATAATATATAGAAATATTTGTAAGCATGTGATCAGTACTGCGATACTCTCTTGCTGCTAATAAAAATTAAAGAAAGTATTATTAAGCTTGTTATATTATTCTATTATACATTGTAAAACGCGAAGTCATATTTTAATACACGTACTATGATACAACGTCATTATATATTCTTTAATTTTAGCTTTATTTGTAGTTATATATTAGCATTAGTAGTTAATACAAAAAGTCCGACAAAACGCCCAAATAAAAAATGGATAATCCAGATTCAGAATGTTTTAGCGCGAATCAAGTGAAGGAAATAACAACCACAAAATGCATCTACTTCGACTCAACCTATGACCACTTCTAAAACTGTCTGTAACTCTAAAGTTTGTAGTAAAAAGTATCCAACTTTCAAGAAGAAAATGTCATTTAGGTTACGTTGTACGTTTTATGTGTAAACTATGCCAAAAAAAGAAAATGCCATACATACACACTTGTGGATAATTTAATTCCTATCACTAAATTGAATAGTCGAAACTTAAATCGCAAAAACTATCCTGAATTCGTAAATGTTTGCAAATTCTTATTTTGGTTAACTCCAACAATCTGTAAATATTAAGAAAATAATTTAAAGTCTATAGCCGTACGTGTCATTTCTACATTATGTTACATTCTACAAAGCCGTGATTCTCACAGAATATTGGAAGGGATTTATTGAAGAGGGGTGAGTTTTGTCAAATAAAAAAAAGAAAGTCTTACAGAAACTAACTGATGTTGACGTTACAGAAAATTGATGAAGGTGAGCATGAACAGTACTGATAGGAATTTGACCAATCTTCTTTTGCAAATATTATTAAAATTCAAATGATTGGTAGGAAAATTTCTAGTAATAGCCTTTTTTTTTTTTTTTTTTTAACTTGGATTTCTTTTTTTGCGTAACATCTACACATCCTGCACATTTGCGCATCTATGCGAGAAAATGATAAATGAATTTATAAAATAACTCTCTGATTTTTCTTCGTGAAAGAAATAATCATCTAATTAATACCATAAAGAGTGCAGACGAGGGGGGGGGTCACACATTATGTCGAAAATTATTATTATTATTTTTTTCAGGGATAATAATTTTGAATAAATTTCGCATCTCATGCAAAAGAATGTAATAGTTTAGGTTTATTATTCTTCAACAAACAAAAAAAAATAATTTAAAAAATAATTTAAAAAATAATTTAAAAAATAATTTAATATATTTTATTATATTATATAACTTGGATCTGTAGTGCGTCTGTAGGTAAGTATAAAATGTACAATATGTCTGATAAATATACTATTTAGGTAAAAAGTCCGATAAATTTTTCAAAAAATAAAGGATACTTTCTTATACGTTGAAAAAATCAATTAGTATGTGATCGACGCATGACAGATTCAAAACTATATTATAGTTTATTAAATAACTTAATATTGTCGATCTTATCTGAATCGCCAATTAAAAAATAATTTTCTTTTTATATTTCTTTGGCAAATGTTTCTGCTACAATAAGCGGAAATACTATAGTTGCGTCAGAATGTATCTAAATAATAAATAAATAAATAATAATGATAATAATAATAAATAATGATAATAATAAAAATAATGATAATAATAAAAATAATAATAACAAATAACAATAACAATGAAAAATTTACTTTAACTGAATCAGCATTCATTTTAATTTTACCCCAACTAACTGCTTCATCAGGTCTCGCTCCTGAATCACTTCCATCAAATTCATGTCCAGTATTTATATATACTGCATAATCTGCTCCATTTCTCTTTATTATTATTGTTGTTGTTGTTGTTAATATTAATTTAATAAATGTTAATGATTGAAAATTAAATAAATTAAAAATAATAATAAATTAATAAATTAAAAATATTTTACCATAAGATTTGCATTACATATGTGATGCTTAATTACACCACCTCCTAATATAATCATTCCAGTTTTCCTAGCAAATACAGCTTGATCATTTATAGATCTAATATCAGAAACAATATCTAATAAAAGTCCAGGATTCCTGAAAGAATGAAAATAGATCATATCTCCTATTGATCCATCTGTTATGGCAGGACAATATACTGGTATTTTATTCTGTAATATGTGAGTTTAAAGAAGGATAGGGGAAAAAAAAAGGAAAGAGAATGAGTGAGAGAGATATATATAAAATTTAATAAAATTTATAATATAGTAACAGTAGTAATAATAATAATTGTATTAAATAATTATTAGTTACTTTGTGTGCCCAGTAATATATAGATTCAGGATTATTTATTTCTTTACCTAATCTATCAATAATTTTTGATGGTGACCATATTGTTCCCTTTACTCACACACATAATAAAAATATAAATAAAATATAAATATTCTGTGTAAGTAAACAAATAATAAACACTTAGTAAATAGTAGTAAGAAATACCTCATCCTTTTGTTCTTTTAATAATTGATCTAAAATTGGAACAATCCAATCTTCAAATTTACAATAATTATCATTTGGAACTATTAAATTACCAATTCGATTTAATCCTTTTTTTCTTAATTCAACTCCGGGTAAATGAAATTCCCCTAAATAAGTTGAAGCTAAACATTTAATAAAATCTTCTTCTACCCCTCCCGCTGTAGTAACTATTACATCCACTTGAGAATGTTGAACCAAGTATCGAAATATTTCTCGTAATCCGGATGACACCAAATTTGATGTGTAACCAAGAAAGATTTTACATTTGATGGTGGAACGAATAGAAGGATCTTTTAATTCATCCTTTTCATCGGGTGATATCGGATCATCTGATAATCTCCATTTTCTCTTAAATAATTAATAATATTTTTTTAATGATATTTAAATATTTTAATTAATTATTTTAATCAATAATAATTATTACCATTTGATTAATGATTTGTATGGCCTTTCCTACACTGGTTGCTTGAAAACCAATTCTATCATAACTACGAAGTATTTGATCATATGTAAGTTTTTGATTAAAATCTGGACCAATTACTGTTATGGCATCTTCTGACATAGGTGTTGAATGTACTAAAACTGCTTGAGTGGCACTATCCGGTACCATTATTTTTTCTTTTTCCTTGTCCTGAGTAACGCTCTCTAGTAGTACCATTGTTTCTTTTTCTTTTACTTTATCATTTGGTTTTTTTTCGGGATCTGAATTATCCAAATTATCCAAAATTGGTTTTTTGTCGGTCATTATTTATCATACAAGAAAATAAAAAAAACGATATCGATCTAACGCGCTAAAAAAAAATCAAAACCTAAATTTAATTGCCAATCGAAAATCGTGAACCCAAAGTCATACAATTCTAATTTAACCATATATGTATGTATAATGTACTTGAACAGTTGTATAAAACGTATAATATAAAAAAAAAAATTACAAAAGCCATCGTCTTTAGTCGATTCAAAAAAAAAAAAAAGTTCTCAAGTGTATTTATATCATAAATATCTATCTATCTATATCGAAAGTTAGCGATGGTTGCTATTCATGAGATCCTAAAAAAACGTAATTTTTCCTTCAATTAAATTCTCTATTATTATTTTTTATTTTATTATCCTAAATTAAGAAATCAACATTATTATCATTATTGATATTAATTATGATTTTCTTTTTTTGTTTCATTAGGCATCATTGATGCAATCAGGTCCATTCAAGCACCTGGCGCTTGGAAAGTCGTGGTGGTAGATGAACACTCAAATAAGATTTTGGAATCGGCCTGTAAGATTTTTGACATCTTGGAAGAGAAAGTTACTTGTGAGTTTTTTATTTTTTGTTGTTTAACTTGATCTTTTTATTATTTTTTTTGATTGATTTTATTTATTTATTATTTTAATTTGATTCTTATTTTATATTATTTTTATTCTTATTAATTATTAGTGGTGGAAAATTTAGAAAAACCACGTCAGGCTTATCAAAGTTTAGACGCAGTTTACATAATTGCACCTACTCAGGACTCAATTAGTAGAGTAATTGAAGATTATTCAAAAAATAAATTATACGCTGGTGCACATTTATGCTTCGTATCTCGTAAGCGATCAATATTTATCAAATATTTATTCATTTATTTATTTAATATTATTATTATTTTACATTATTATTAATTATTAATATTTACCTAACATCATTCTTTTCTTTTATCCAACGCATGATATTATTTTATACACAACATTTTTATAGCACCCGATGAACATATCATATCAAGATTAAAGCAATCATTACCTAACATGAAATCGCGCAAAGATCTTTACATCGATTTTCATGGTTAGTAATAATAATAATAATAATAATAATAGTAATAGTAATATATAACATATGACAATAATAATCATCTAATGATATTACTTTCTTTTGAATAGCTAAAGAAGCACATGTATATTCTTTCGAATCACCATTAAGTTTCTTTAGATTATTTTCACCTCAAGAACAAGATAATTTCGAACCAGAATTGAGGATCCTTGCCAAACGTGTAAATTAAAATTTTTATATTTATATTATTATTTTTACTATTTTAAAAGTTAAAATTATATTGATTTTATATATATATATATATATATATATTGCAGCTCCTTTCAGTATGTGTATCGTTGGGAGAAAATCCACTTATTCGTTATCAAAGAGGACTTGAAGCAGATCATCCAGCCAAAGCATTATCATTTAAATTAGCGATGTTATTACAATCTGAATTAGATCAATATGTTAAATTGAATCCAGTGAATCCTTTCCCAGTAAGTTTTGCAGATTCTTTATAAATTTTCAATCTTCTTTATACAACAATAGAAGATGATATGATAATAATAACAATATGACAATAATAATAATGTGATGATGATGATAATTATATAAAATTAGGTACACGACCCACCACGTCCACGAGCAATTTTATTCATATTAGATCGAACAATTGATATGTATACACCATTACTTCACGAATTTACATATCAAGCTATGGCCAATGACCTTTTACCAATAGATAATGGACAAAAATATACATATAATTATATTGGGGATGATGGAGAACCAGCCACCAAAGATGCAATTTTAGATGAGAGTGATAATATATGGGTTGATATTAGGCATCGACATATGAAAGATTGTATTGATAAATTGATGAAAGATTTTAATTCATTTTTGGGTGAACATGCGGGATTTACTGATAAGTAAGTTAATAATTTATTTATTATAATTATTTATATCATTGTTATTTTTATATTATTTTATATGATATCATTATCTAACAATTAATATTGTTTCATATTATTTTTAATTTTAAAATTAGAGATAAGGCAGCTAATTTAAATGAAATGAAAAGAATGTTGGCAACTTTACCACAATTTCAAAATATGAAGGAAAAAGTAATTCATTTAAATATTTTATAATTATTTATTTCATTTTAATTTTAATTCATACTTATAATAGTTCTGACTTTAAATTTTATTAAAGTTTTCTGTTCATCTTAATATTGCACAAGAATGTATGTCAGTATTTGAAAAAGAAAGACTTGATGAAATAGCTAATGTCGAACAGGTATTATTTATAATTTTATTATTATTTTTATTATTTTTATTTTATTTTTTAAATTTTCTCAATTAATCAAAAGAAACAATAAATAAATAAATAAACAAACAATAACAATAATAATAATCTTAAATAGAATTGCTCTACTGGTTATACTCCGGATGGTCAACATCCAAAAACATTAGTAGAAGATATGGTGCCTTTATTAGATAATCCTGTAGTGAGGTAAATGAAAAAAAAAAATGAAGAGAAATTAATTATTATATTTATTTTTTAATTTATTATATTTATATTTATTAATTTATTATTAATTAATTTATTTATTTATTTAATAACAGTTTAAGCACCAAAGTTAGAATGCTTATGTTATATATAATGTATAAGAATGGTATCTTAGAAGAAGATAGACGTAAATTATTGGCTCACGCAAGAATTTCACATAAAGAAAATGATGCTATTAATAATTTGATATATTTCGGGGTTAAATTAATTAGGGTTCGTTCGTTTTAATAAATTTTGTTATTTATTTGTTTATTTAATTATATAATTTAATTTATTTTATAATTTAATTTAATTTATTTTATAATTTAATTTATAATTTAATTTAATTTATTTTATAATTTAATTTAATTTATTTTATAATTTAATTTAATTTATTTTATAATTTAATTTAATTTATTTTATTTTATTTTATTTTATTTTGTAAATTTATTTAGCAATCGGGAGCTATTAAAAAACCTAAAAAATATCGACAAAAGCCAGGAGATGATCATTATGAAATTTCTAGATATGTTCCGAAATTAAGCCTTATATTGGCGGTAATAATAATTTTATTTATTTATATCATTAATTTATATATATCATTAATTTATATATATCATTATTTTTTATATATCATTACTTTATATATATATTTTTTCAGAGTCATATCAATGAGACAATAGATCATACCGCGTTCCCATATACGACAGGAGATCCAGATGGTACTAAAAATGCTCAACAAGGAAATTTATCTTTAAGAAGGTAAAAAATTATTTAAATGCATTTGGTATTATTATTATTTCGGTTATAATTGATAATAATTCTAATTTATTCATTTATTTATTAGTAATAAAGCACGTTGGTACAAGAAAGACGGAGCAGTAAGTTAATAAATTTAATTATAATTTGAATAATAAATAAATAAATAAAATAAAATAAATAATAAATTATTATTATTATTATTATTTTTTATTATTACTTTTCTAGTCTGAAAATCGAGCGGGTCGCATAATAGTATTTATAGCTGGTGGTGTAACTTATTCCGAACTTCGTTCTGTTTATGAACTTTCAGCGAAACATAGTATGGATGTGGTCGTCGGTATGAATCATATATATTCTTACATTATTTATTCATTCATTATTTATTTCATTAATTATTCATTATTTACTCATTCATTCATTCATTATTTATTTATTTATTTATTTCATAATTGAACAGGTTCAACACACATGATAACACCTCATAAATTCCTTGATGATTTAGCTTTACTTCAGAAACCACCCACAAAACTACAACAAAAACATCAACAACATCCTAATCAGAATTTATCATCTATTCCTCCTCATACTCCTAATCGTCCCGGTGTAAGTGGAGGTGGAAATACTGCATATAATCATTCATCATATAATACATCACCCGGATATAGACCACCACCGCAACAGCAACAACATCATCAACAACATCATCCACAATATCAACAACATCAACAATATCAACAACCACCACAAGGTGGATATGTACAATATTCTAGACAAAGTCCACAAAACCCACAAAATGTTGCATATCAAAATTATCCACCACCAAATAGTGCACCCGCGGGAAGTCAACAATTCTCTCCCAACAGACCTTCATCAAATCCTCCTTCCTCCGAGAGAACAAATAAACAAAAACATAATATTTTCAAATTCTAGAAAGAAAAAACAATCTAGTTTTTTTTTTTTTTTTTTAATATTATTTATTTATATTTAATTGATATATTTAATTGATATATTTAATTGATATATTTAATTGATATATTTAATTGATATTTAATTGATATATTTAATTGATATTTAATTGAGGCGATATTTATAAAAAAAATTAATGATATGATTTTTAATTAATATTAACGTTATTATTATTAATAAAGAGAGTTTGGGGAATAATAAATTTATATATATTTGCTTAATAGACAATTTTACTTTATTATGAATCATATAATTAGTAGTAAAAAAGGTAAGTATGTCATATTATATTATCTTCTATAATTAATTTTATTATTAAAAAATTATCTTCTTAAAAAATTATAGGAAAATTTTATTTGTACTTAATTTAATGATAAAATGCGAAGATGAATACTAAATAATAATTAATATAATTAATGTATTAAAAGTTTGTACCAAAAAACGTTTACGTCGTTACGTAATACTAAAGTATTAAAATATTTAGTCACCACACATTAGAATAATAATAATAAAAAGCTTAACTCAAATCCTTGTTATATTAAACCCCTGCAGATGATCCAAGAAATTTAACTATTAAAAAAACTATCTATAAAAAGAAATAATAATAAATAAATAATTTTCATACTTTGAAAATTTTAAATTTATGAAAGAATGACGATGGCATAGCAGACAAAAAATAAAAAATTTTGCTCACCTAAAAAAAATCCGAACTAAAGAAAATTTAAAAAAGTTTATCAAACTTCAATTCATTAATTTTATCAAACATGCATCGCAACAACAAAATTCAATCCGGAATAGTTACATAAATGTAAAAATTAGGTCCGTAAATTTAGCTAATAAACTAAGTCGTGATACTTAAAAAAAGTAAAAAATGCCAATCTTCTAAGTTCTAATATTAATAAAGTTCGTGAGATAAATTAATACATAATATTTTAAAAAATGTAAAGTCAAAACATAAAAAATAATACTTTTATATTATTTACATGTTTTTACTTTTACCACAGCTAAGATGTCGTGGGAAATATGGGATAAATATTAATATTGTAAAGTGGAAAATTGATACCTGTAAGTATTTATCACTTTCTCTATTATTTAAAATTCAAGATTCTAATTTAATATTTTTAATTTGAACTTATCTTTATACGCACATACACACACAATTTGAGTTGATAGAATAATAATAAATATAACATTTAACCTTCTTTATTTTTATCATTTAGTAAAATATTTAATTTGTGAAAGATTAATAGTGATGATAATAATAGTATTAATGTGTTTTTTTATTATTAAATACACCGCGTCGTCTCTTTATATAATTGGTTTGTTTTAAAATCTAAACTTTATCTTTATTATTACGTTATTGGATATATGCCCAAAAGAAATACATAATATAAACATTATATCTATTATATCTATTCACTACAAAAACATTTTCTTCCGCTTTTTCAATAATAATTTTATAATAATATACTTTGACCGCAGCGAAAAGACTTTCACTATATACACTAATTTGTTCAAATTTATCTTAATTTATATTATTTTTTTTTAAAAAAAAAAATTTAACACAAATAAGTCTTATCAGAATTCCTCAGTTTATGGGGCAACGACAAATCATCCCTTTAGTTTTAGCAAGCTTCAGCTTCATTATATATTCAACTAACTAATTCCCGTCCGTTGAACACAGTAATAGCCTATAGAAAAGCATGTTTATCTCAGCCAATTGGGTGTTATTATCCTTTTTATCTCATTTATATCTTCTCTTCGAATATAGATAATTCATAAATCTACTAAATTTAAAAATCGGGAAATAATTCATGATAGTTGCTACATAGTAAACTTTATTACTAATAAAACATCGAAAGTAATACTAAGTAAACTTAAAGCTATAATTTAAATGCAGCTTTTCACTTATGTATGACTGTCAGCTCCACTAAATGAACTGTAAGAACAGCAGGCGTTTAAATGTTAATTATTTAATTTTAAAACGGAAAAGTTTAGACGCCCATCATTCTCTTAATTTTAAAGAAATAGGTTAGAAAATTTTTTTATAGCAGATGCTATTCATTTTGGGATTTCGAATTACTTAGTAATGTTTTTGATCTTTACTTATTAAAATAAAATGTTTTATTATGTAGCAACGATCGTGAATTATTTCCGATTTGAAATTTATAAAGTATTTTTCTAAAGTAACATAATTGTCAAAGGAACAAATTGCGACTTGGCACTACCCTAAAAATTTAGATGCAGACATGTCATGTGTTAGATGATCATGTGTAAAATTATATTGATAAATACCGTTATTTATTTGGAAAACATGTTTATCCCATCACTATATATTATAAATTTGGAAGTAATAACAAACTGTATTTATGAAACTTTAAAAAAAAATAAATAAATAATAGAAGATATATACTTTAAAAAAATATTTCGCTTACCACCATTAGATGTAATAGTATGATCATGTGTAAATTATATTGATAAACACGTTTTTTATCTAACCAATAGGAAAGCATGTTTATCCCACCACTATGTATTATAAATTTGGAAGTAATAACAAACTGTATTTATGAAACTTTTAAAAATAAACAATAGATGATATATACTTTAAAAAAATATTTCGTGCACCAAAAAGATCATAGAATTCGTCAAAATGCCTACCAATAAATTTCATTACTTTGATCACATGGAACATTTTTACCAATCAAAATATTCGCATGTGATTACCGTTTATGGAAAATTATATGGAGTTTTACATGTAACAATTTAAAAATAAATAAATAAATAAAAATTCATTATTTAATTTATTTAATTTCCTTTTTGACTGAATAAAAATTGCCTTTTAATTGATTAGTTGATTTAATATAATTTTGTAAAATAATGTTCGAAAATCCACTTTCCTCGCAAGATGAAAAGCATCAAAAGGGTACTCTTGGTAACATCCCGGCTAAAGAAAAAGAACTACGCGTGCCTGATAGCATTTTGACGGGTGTGCAGAATGTTGAAATTGATAATGTGAAACCGGAAATGTTGCAAGCGCATTTAATGCTTTTAACTAAATTTAAAGCATTGGAACAAGCAGATGAACAGATTGATGTGAGATATTTGTTGCGTGCGCAGGAACGCTACCTGTTGTGGTTAAAGTTCTTGGGTAGTCAAAATTTTAAACCAGGAATGGAACTTATTCCTCCTATAGGTGAACAAAGGATTTAAAATGCTAAATAAAAAAAAATTTATTTACGGCTTTTGTTAATAATTAAATAACTTTTAAAATAGATGTTTGCTACATTTGGCATTCGCATTTACTTTCACCAATGCGATACTATGAAGATATGTTGCGAATTTATGATCCCATCCTAAAGTTTCCGGATTTTCCCCTGAAACGATTGGCAAGCATTTCTCTCTTCTTCTAATATTTTGCTTATTTTAAATGAAACGCTAAATTCCTCTCGTTTCTATTTATCAGTATGACATTTGGGTAAAAAACGACGGCCATTCTGACCCTGAATCCGAAAGTATTTGGGTAAAAAATACCAAACAACCATGGGTTCTTGATCCGAATGACAGTTCCGATTTTAAGATGTCTTGCCCTTGGTGTAAAAATATCAACCAAATTCCATGGTGAGTTAACATTATTTTTGGTTTTCATTTGTTAACTCCATACTTACTTGATCCATTGTTGGGATATTAGGGAAATTTATGTAAAATTAATGCGAAATATTGAGACAAATGAAAAATGTATGACATGCAAAGTATCAATTTCTGTTGAAACTTTAAGCTGCAAGCGATTTATTGATGATATTGTTAAATGGAATGAGAATAAAGCTAAATTTATTGGGTAAGTAATTTTATTAGAATTGGATCATTTTGATATATTATTGACTATATTTTACTTTTTATTTCATCAAGTGGCACTCTAGTTAATCCAAAGGATGGTTCCCATTCGGAACTATTCGCGGCAAATAATTCCAGCTTGTTATTCTCTACAGATGATTCCGACATTAAGAAACTTACTGTTTCAAAATCTCCAAGTTGGGAACATATTATTAATGAACTTGATAGGCGCGTAAATCAATTAAGAAAAATAAGAACAGCTGAAATAACAAAAAAAAAGAAAAATAATTGTCCGAAGAACTGTGTTCGCCTATATTGGTATTCCATTTCCGTTCTCAATTGACCTCATTAATGCTGTATTTCGGCAACGCGAATTCACCAAAAAGATGGTTAACAATAAAATAATCAATCACACTGAAATTCAAGCCAATGCCACTATACAATACCTTAAGTTCTTATTTTTAATGAAAGAGAAAAAAAAAAGAATTTTAGTACCCACACTTGATATTGATTTATGTTGGCACACACATCAGATTCATGCATCACTTTACCGTAAATTTACCAAAAAGCATATTGGTCGAATTATCAATCATGATGATACATTAGCTGAAGGTGTATTGTCTGATGGATTTTCAGCCACCGCTCGAGCTTGGTACAAAAAGTATCACGAAGCATATACACATGATGATCCATCAAAGATTTGGTTGACTACGAAAAAAAAGATCATGTCTGTTATCATACCACCTTATGGACTTTTGGTTCATAATCAATTAAAAAAGTATAAAAAGTCAATTACCAATCAGCATGAGAAGGATATAAAAATTTATAATGTTGATGAGAAGAATGTGGAAAGTGAAAAAGACAAAGAAAAAAGGGACATGTGAGTTATAACAATGTTTTTAAGTTTTATAAAGTTATCACATTGTTAATCATCATTTAATTTGTAGTTCATTAAACCCATTAACAAAATACAGTTTTGGACGTAAGCAAATTCTTTAATTTATTTACTTTTGTGTAAAAATTGAAACATTGAAACTAAATTAATATTTTTTTTATAAGTCTTTACGATTCTTGGTGTTGAAAATTTTGGAAGCTGTGGTGGTGATGCTGGTGGATGTGGGACTAGCTGTGGTGGCGGTTGTGGAGGTGGAGGTGGATGCGGAGGTGGATGTGGAGGCGGATGTGGGGGAGGATAATATGACTACCGTAATTTGCTGGCCAACATCAGGAAATTTTTTCTAGTGAAAACCTTCGAAAGTTAACGTTAACGTAAGTATTTCACTATTTTTCGATATGTTATCCTTCGAAGGTCTTCGCTAACCTTCGAAGGTTATCGATTTTGATATTTTCACGTGGCA